ATATTTCCCAGTCCAAATGTCCATTCACATTCTGATGTAAACAGCAGTTACAAATCTGTCTGTGCACCCAACAATGGGCTAACAGTACTGTGTTTTGAACATCACAGCAGATGGAAAAAAGAGATGAGAGATAGCAGCTGTTTTTTTTTTTATGCTTTGTTTTGTTTTTTACCTGATCAACTGAGCGTATGAAAACTGCTGGCTATATTGGTTCAAGTCCTTCGCCAGATTTAATATCATAAATGAAAATATTAATGGCACTTAGCAAAATGTTCTGACTTGACAATGATGGCATTGAAAATAATGAATACGGAGGTCAGGAAGACGACAACAAATTAGAGAGCATTTAGAGGGATACTACAGACCCCCAAACACTAACTTGCTGAAAAGCTTTATGGGTGAAGAGTGTGTCCCATTTTCTTCTTTTTGAGAAAAGTTCAGATTCCAATAGAAATTGACTCTTTTATAACTTAACCTGGTCACACCCCCTGGCTTTTCAAGCAGACAACTGTTCTGTTTCAGAGCCAGCAATTGCCCACAGCACCGCTTGGTTTTCCTGACACTATAGTACCCTGTGGGTGCCCCCACCCTCAAGGTCCCCCTCCCGCGGCGCTGAAGGGGTTAAAACCCCTTCAGCTACTCACCCTTTTCCCCCACCGGGCTCCCTTACCTCTTCTCCCCCGCCGACGCACGCATTCAAAGTGTCTGTAGGAAAGCATTTTTCAATGCTTTCCCATGGACGCTCTGCGTGATTGAGGCATAATATGCCTCAATCATTGCCAATGCGCCTCTAGTGGCTGGCTTAACCCCAGATGCAAAAAACTGCTATGTTTACATCAGGCAGGGTTAACCCTAGAGGTACCTGACACCCAGACCACTTCAGCTATAGTGTCCCTTTAAGCTGCATTGGGAAGACTGATTGGACAGCCGCAGAAAGTCTGGGTGGGGTTAGAAAGGGGGGGTTTGTTTAATAATAAAAAAAAAACAGTCAAGAGGTCTGCAGCTTTGGGATGCTGTTTTACATATACCACCAAATTAAAAATGCATGGTTAAATGCATGCAAGTTTTCATTTGGTGTATATTTACTAAACAATTTTTTTTTATTTATTTATCTTGCATATGGGTAGTGGAGTGTCCCTTTAACGAACTCAGCAGGGGGTCACAGCTGACAAATGACAGTCCTACAAGCATGGCACTAAATCAGGATGACAGCCACTAGACGTGCGTTTAGCTCTGTAATAAAACATTGCTATACTTCCAAAAGTATATTAGTTTTAGCATCCATCACACATTAAAAGATTAGTAAAGGGACATCCCAAGCAAAACAACATGATCTTTACAGTTTATATTTGTTTGGTTGCAGTCCCTCTATTTCTTGTCAACTATTTCAGGTGTATTTTCATTACCATTAACCCCTTAATGACACATGACGGAAATATTCCGTCATGATTCTATTTAATTTCAAAATTTGTGTCCTTAAGGGGTTAAATTAAAGGGACACCGTAGGCACTGTATCTGCTTCATCTCATTAAACTGGTTATAGTGTATGGAGTCCCCTGGTGCCATCATTTCTTTCAGCATTAAATAGTTTTTAATGTTGTAATGTTTTAATGCTAAACAAGAGACCACGGCAGTCCATCCCCTCTGTGCTGCTTTGGCTAATAAGGAAGTATTACCCTGAGCAGCAATGGGCAGCTGTGATTGGCTGAAAGTGTCAGCTGACTGCTTATAACCTGTCAGAGCTCCAACTGACGGTATGAATGGGTATGACAACAAGGAAGTGTGTAATCTCTGCCTTAGCTACACATACAGAAGGGGCCGGACTGTGGGTGGCCAGGGACTCTTATTTTGCGGCATACTGCACAAACATGGTGCAACACTGAATGGAGGGACAGTGCCAGGGCACTCCAGGCACTATAGCCAATTCAAAGAGACAAAGTGGTTATAGTGACTACAGTGTCCCTTTAATATGATAAACCCCTGAGGCATTATGGTCAATCACCTGACACCACATATGGTAGGTAATTGGACAGTAATGTATCTAATGCCACATAAGGTAAGTGGTCTGAGGGTGTCTAGCAGTTGCTTCTTGTATCAAGTACCATGTATCATCACTTAATATGTTCAGAAAGTATTTTTGCCATTAGGTAGATATCTGGGAAGTGCATCAGTTTTTTGGAGCCATCAAAGAGTAGTATAGATTGTGAATGAGATTTTTTACAGGTGATGCAGGTTCTAAATAATTATTTGGAATTCTGTTCTACAAATTAGAATCCCCAGACTTTGTGTTCTGGAATTATGAAACTCGGTGAATTACTGCACTAGAACCCAACTTGCTACTGAGGAAATTACTCCCTCAAAGAACCTAGAGCAAAACCAGCTGCTGGGCTCAATCCCAGTGAGTTACCCAGAGCACAGGTCACTGTAAATAACACTGTATTATTATTATTATAACTATCCTCTAGTGAAACACTCATTATAAATGGAGCATTGTTAAACCCACTGACCGTCATACTGAGTGCAGGCCGAGTATAGCACTTCACCGCTGACACACGTTGCCGGCTGGCTGGCTGGCTGGCGGAAGCTGTCCTCGCTGCGCAGAAAGGGAATCGGGTATTGTAGTGCTTTGCCGTCAACTCGCCGCACTCGTAACGAAAAATAAAACTACAGCTCCCGAGATGCACCGCACTCGCCACTGGTGGAAGTTGCATCAGTTTGTCTCGGCATGCGTCAGGAGCCAGAGCTATATGGTCCTGTATGTTTGGGGGTAGCGGATGATTCCTCTCCAGCTAAACGACATGTGATGTCACTGGAACCATGTGACTACCGGGGTCACGTGGTCCAAAGAGAACCTGAGGATGTGCTGCCATTGGCAACATACCCTCACTCTGTCTCCTTTGCTCTCACAGTCTGTCTGTCTGTTTCATTGTCATTTTCACGGTTTAAGACTTATACTCCTGGTTGGTGCAAGGATTTTTGGCTACAAAAAAACACTTGGTGGAGCTCACGTTTACCGTGTGGTAATTGGCCAGAGCTTGCTAGTCAGCTGCCAAACTAGAAATGATTAAACTACATGTATAGAAAAACGTATGAGGGTCAATTATGATTCCCATATTACTTTAACAGAGGTCTACAACCTCCCTTAAAAGGGAGTGATGACCTGTGATTTCCCCACCAGTGGGCATTGGATGGGGGCTTAAATAAAAAAAAGGGGGTAGAACGGTCACCTGTGCCCAGCGGGTGTGGACTCTATAACAAAACATGGGAGGAGACATGGCTGTGTCCCGCTCTGTTGCTCTTGCTCTATCTTGGGCCCTCATTCTATAGCCCTGACACCCTAGAAATAGACAGAATGTAAAAAGCTCCATTAGCCTTATAATTCCCATTCCTATACAGGGTCTGCATCGCATTAACTATGTTCACTTCCTTATGCAGGACCTGTATCAATAAACTGCAACCTTTAAGTTTGGATTCCAATATTGTTGAATGGGTAAGGCAGTGGCTGAGTGACAGGCAATAGAGGGTTGTAGTCAATGGAGTATATTTGAAGCATGGGCTTGTCACCAGTAGGGTACCTCAGGGATCTGTACTTGGACCCATTCTCTTTAATATTTTTATTAGTGATATTGCAGAAGGTCTTGACGGTAAGGTATGTATTTTTGCTGATGATACTAAGATATGTAACAGGGTTGATGTTCCAGGAGGGATAAGCCAAATGGCAAATGATTTAGAAAAATGGTCATAGTTGTGGCAACTGACATTTAATGTGGATAAGTGCAAGATAATGCATCTTGGACGTAAAAATCCAAGGTCAGAGTGCAGAATATTTGATAAGAGTCCTAACCTCAACATCCGAGGAAAAGGATTATGGGGTGATTGTTTCTGATGACTTAAAGGTAGGCAGACAATGTAATAGAGCAGCAGGAAATGCTAGCAGAATGCTTGGTTGTATAGGCAGAGGTATTAGCAGTAGAAAGAGGGCCATTGTACAGAACACTGGTGAGACCTCACTTGAAGTATTGTACGCAGTACTGGAGACGATTTCTCCAGAAGTATATTGATACTTTAGAGAGAGTTCAGAGAAGGGATACTTATCTGGTTCATGGATTGCAGGATACAACTTACAAGGAAAGATTAAAAGAACTTAACATGACTAGCTGGGAGGAAAGACGAGACAGGGGGTTATGATAGAAACATTTAAATACATAAAGGGAATCAAAATAGTGAAGGAGGAGACCATATTTAAAAGAAGAAAAACTACCACAAGAGGACATAGTCTTAAATTAGAGGGGCAAAGGTTTAAAAATAATATCAGGAAGTATTACTTTACTGAGAGAGTAGTGGATGCATGGACTAGCATTCCAGCTGAAGTGGTAGAGGTTAACACAGTAAAGGAGTTTAAGCATGCGTGGGATAGGCATAAGACTATCCTAACTATAAGGTAAGGCCAGGGACTAATGAAAGTATTTAGAAAATTGAGCAGACTAGAAGGGCCAAATGGTTCTTATCTGCCTTCACATTCTATGTTTCTGTTTTGACTTAAAGGGTTACTCCATGTATCATAATCACTACAGCAGACTGTAGTACCTTGGCCACATTCCCCTTAATAGAGCAAACACTGTTTAACAACAGTTTGCCCTCTTATCTGGATCCCCACCAGCTGCTGAGGGTCCATAAAGTGGTGATGATACTCGTCCGACTTCTGCAGAACCAGGATGCCGCCGCCGCCGCC